TTGGGCTAGTCTAGTTTTGCTCAGGCCTGTGTTACTTCCTCCATTCCTTCAGGCCATCTTATTTTTTTTTTTAAAGATATATTGATTGATGCATACAGGAGCTGGGGTACAGGTGGGTGGGGCAGAGGAGAGAGGTTTGAGAGGAGACACCAGAGACAGACTGGTGAGAAGAACAGGCAGATCTACTGAGACAAGGAGAGTCTGCTGCACCATGTGGGTCACCTCCCTGGCTGAGGATTGAACTCATGCTGCAGTGGCTGCAATATGGGCTTTAACCTGTTGTGTCACCGGGGAGGGTCCTGAGCTATCTTTTTATTAAATGGAGTTACACTTGACTTAAAACTTAGTGTTCACCTCAGACATACAACATAATAATTTGGTATTTGTAGGCACAGTGAGCAATCTCTGTAGTAAGTCTGGTGAACATCTGTCACCACGCATGGTTAACTTGCATTCTTGTGCTAAGAACTTTAAGGTCTACTCCCTTAGCAACTCTCACTGTCACACAATACAGGATTGTTAACTATGCTCCCCACGCTTGCAAACAGCTCCAAGACTTATTTTTTACTTCAACCCTTGCAAAGAAGGTAGCTCACATAGACGTAATATTGTAATGGTCTTGAATACAGGGTCCTGGTATCCATGCAGGGTCTCCTTTACTGCTCGAGGAAGAAAGGCAGACACGTTGCCCATGGAATGTCCATTCTGTCCTTTCTTGATAATGATGCCAGCCCTAGGCATCATTGCCATGATTCATTCTTGCAGATGGAACTATCCTATTCACATCTCTCCAGCCTACCTTGTTGCCTATGGTAACTGAGTGGCCCACTTCTGGCCAGTGAGTCAGAAACAGACATCTGCCTTGGAGGGGTGAGCGAGGTCCCGGGGAAATGTTTTGCCTTCATGCTAAAAAAAGGACACAGGTGTCTGGCATGGCCCTTTCCTTTCCCCAAGGTCACCAACTGCCAACTCCAGGCTCCTGGCTCTGACCTAGCAGATCTTCATTAGCTGGCATCTTGTTACTTGTGGTTTTAACTACATTCCTGTTTGACACAGGCAGGTAGTATCATTCTTATTTCACACATAAGAAAAGCAAGTTATCTTGGACAACTGAGTAAGCAAGAAACGGAGCTAGCTTTCAAGTCCCGATTCCAGTTCCCAGAGGCTGCGGTCCCTTATTGCTATAAAGTGTTAAGCAAGACGCTAACAAGCAAGGTGCAAGGAGACTATCCTGTGTGACAGGCTAATGGCACATGAATCTTATCTCATTAGATCAAGTGCACTGGCTCCTGATCCCAACGCTGCTGGTTCCCTCAACCCTTCGCGCCGGTCGGGCACTTTGTCAGCCCCTCTCGAGAGGATCTGGAACTCACCAGCGCTCAGCAAACGTAGACTGTGCCTGTGCAGGCCTCTGAAGTGGGGCGGGAGGTGAGGGCAGCCCACAAAGGCTGGAGCCTGCCCAGTCAGCCCCCCCAGTCCAAGTGAGAAAACCAAGGGCCAGGGAGGATGCATACTTAGCCCAAAGGGCAAAGCTGAGGCCCAACTCCAGGCTTCCTTCTCCACGTGGGTGGGTGTCCCCAGCAGTTTCTTGAGCCCCTTCATCGTGCTGTACTTCTAAGTCCACTTGGTTAAGACGTGGGTCCTGGTTCCTAGGTTTCAGACAGAACGTTTACACTTTCTGTCTGTGTCCCCACATGACGCTGCCTTCGGCCTGGGCACTGGTCCGTCTCGGTCTTAGATAACATGACATGGCCATACTGCCCCCCACCCTAGTTTCCGTCTGTATGTGGGGTCCCACACGTGTCCTATCAGAACCAGGAGCACAGGACAGAAGCAAGCCCTCGCCTATGGTCAAATGGAGGTCGACGGGCTCAAGGCCTGTGCTCCCGGCAAGCACCTCCTCTGGTCTTCCCTCAAGGCTGACTCCTTGAAGCTTGAATTTCCTCTTGAGTCCTCAGGCACTCCGGCTCTGGCTGTGAGCTCTGGCTGTGGGGAGATGCAGCGAGCTGTGGCAATTCACCCACTCCTTAACTATCAAGACCTCCGCTCTCCTAAACCCTCTCGGGGCGCTCCTCTTCAGTTACTCCTGAAAGCACACACACTTCCTCTAACAAGGTATCATCAGTGTATTTGAGACCCCAAAGGTGGTCTCCAAGGAACATCTTGGGCAATAGCCACCTGCCAGGCCAACCCCTAGTCAGAGGTTGCCCTGGGCTTTGATGGGCCTCACATTCTCCACATAGCAGGGACACCTTGGGGACCCAACGTCCCTCCGGTAACTGCACCAGCAAATCCTGGTTGAGGCTCACCTGTTGCTCCTCTGTCCTCACACCTGGGTTACCTGTTTGTGGTGGTTGGGAGGCGCAGGTGTATTCAGTGAGATCTCAGCATTTTGCTAACTCGGCATCCCCCCAACCCCCCACACCAACCCATGAAGAGTAAAGGAGTCTAAACATCTAGTCTCCCTTTCTGGAAGCCAGCCACAATAAGTGTTGGTAGCAATGGTTTTTGTTTGTTTGTTTTTTAATGAGAAGGGTGCAGCCTCTGGAGACAGAGCAGGCTCCAAGCTCTTGGCTCTGCCGGGAGGAGCTGGAGATGCCTCCCCTTTCCTTCCCATTGTTTTTAAAAATAATTTCGGTAATTTTTTTCAAGCAAATAACATAAAATTTGCCATCTTTCCCATTTCTAAGTGGACCTCTCATACTGAGGTGGGGGCACAAATGTATAATGTATAACATTAGTGTTTTACTTTTTCAAAAAGATTTATTTATTTATGAAGACAAGAGCTGGGGTACAGGCCAGAGGTGCAAGGGGTAAGAGGGTCCACCACAGACAGAGTGGGGAGCAGAACAGACAGGTGTACTGAAAGACACTGCTGAGGGGAGCAGCGGGCGGGTCAGGAGAGGTCTGCTGCGCCCTGTGGGTCAGCTCCCTGGCCGGAGATCGAACTCATGCTGAAGCGGCTGCAGACAGCGTCATAGTGCTAAGCTCTAACCCATTAAAGCCACTGGGGAGGACACAATATAACATTAGTGTCTTCATTAATAAGTAACTGAAGGGCTTCCCAAAAAGATGGAAAGGCGCAGAGCCAGAGAGGATGGAAATGAACACAATGAGCATGAATAGAACTTCCTAAGCTGCTCTGTTGTTAACACGGTAGGACAATGCCGTGACTTCCACGGGGACCAGAAGTGGGAGAGGAGCTAGACATTTGCTTAATTTGGAGGTAGTCATCAGCAATGGAAAAAGAATACAAATCATAACTCCAAAATTAAATTTAAAAGTGAATTTTTTTAAATGAAAAAAATAATCACTCCAAATTTCAAATCTTGAAAAGTTGGTGCATACCCACAAAAATCCCAAAACCTAGAAAAATGACACATTCTTTTTATTTCTCCAAAACACGCCTCGGTAGTATTTTTTTTGCTAAATTTGATATAATTTGTAATCCTGAGAAATACACAAAAGTCATCTGGAGCTATAGCACTCGTAGGAGCAATTCAACCGCATTTAAAAAATCGCTGCCACCTTGTACTGAGACACATAATTGTGTAACCAGATTCCTCTGATACCACAACATTGACTTATTGATGAGGATGTGTAGGAGTTTTGTCACTGGAACACTTGCTTCTCCAGGCAGCTCTCTGCGTTGGCGGCCTTCTGCGTGCCACTTTGCTGCGACCAGCAGATTTTGTCAGAGCAAGATGCACGTCGAAGCCACCAGATGCACCCCGACCCACAGAGCATCCACTCCAGCCTCACCGGGACACCCCCGGCCCACAGAGCGTCCGCTGCGACTTCACACTGAGTCGTAGCACCTGTTTGGGCTCCCAGACACGAGAATCCCCATCAGCCCTGTTTGTGTAATTCCCATCAAGGAGATGACAGTGTGGGACTGTTTATAATTTTGCGTTCCACGTCAGTGATTTTCCTCACAGGAGAGGACTTGATGAAACCTGAATCTTCTGATGGCAACTTTATTGATTTGACCTTTAAGAGCGTTTCCCACAGACTCGCTTCCCCCTACCACACACTTACATGGGGGGAGAGGTAGGACTTTTCCACCCCTAAGTTTCTCAGGCTGCCCCTGCGTGTCCTGGTGAGCAAGTCAGCACCCCACACCAGCCACATGAGGAAATGACAGCGAGCTCCGTGGACACCCCACGGAGTGCAAATAAAACGTTACTCAACTTCCTCAACCAACAGACACTTAAGCAGCCCCCAACCCAGGGGAACTCAGGAACAGTTGGAATGGAAAGAAGCAGAGGTCTCCACTAGTAATGCTGAGCTCCCTTATGTTTGCATATGTTATAAAGAACATTGTGCCCCACGGCTGTGCAGGGCGGAGGCCTTGGGCTTCATGGATTTCTTGGTGAAGGTGTCCTCAGCTTGAACCAGGAGCAGGTGAGATGGGTGTTCGGGGGGCGATGGCTGTTGACATTATCTCTGTGGCAGGCCCGGAAATGGCAGGGGGCCTTGAGTGCCCCCTGTGTCCTCTAGTGTCACTGGGCCTCAAGGGCCCTTGAAAATAAGGGTGATGACCCCAACCTCCCAGGAGGCTGTGAGGTTTAACGAGAGGGTGTGAGCCAGGCTTTGCGATCAGAGCCCTGGACAAGTTGGTCAGCTGTCACGGCATCACCGGCCCTCGGGTCCAGAAGGCTGTGCGGCAGGAACAGGCCCGCCCCGATGGGATGAGACAGCCCTGTCTCCTGGCGTCTCAATAATCCTGCCGAGGTCCCTCCTGCTTCCCTCCTCTGGAGGATTAGCGAGGCCAGAGGATTAGGGGCTCGTTTTGTTACAACCTCCCCCCTAGACTGACCATAGCCCCACTCCTAGAGGCCAGCTGCTGGGGGAGGGTCACTCTTCATCCTGAGGATCCAGGAGAAAGCAGCCCGGGCTCTCGGCCTCACCTGCTCTTTCCCTCCACTAGCCTGACCCCAGCAGGGGCACCAGCTGGACTCTCCGTGCTCCTCCCAGGCCTCAGCTCTACCCACAGCAGCATGACCCGCCACCAGCAGCCCGGGGCCACCCTGCAGACGCCGGTGCTTACCCTGTGTCTGCTGCTGTCAGCCACCTCCCTGGCCCCGACATGGGCGCAGACCAAGATTCCTCTGGAAACGTAAGCATCGAGCTTCTGGCTCTCCTCCTCCCCTGTTAGAGCCCAGCCCATTCATTGCCTGCACCCCGACCTCCCTTCCCGCTCCCTTCTGGGGCTCCAGCTGCCCAGCCCCCTTTCCTGTCTTGAGGACCTGGCTGCACCCGTCTCCTTTCCGAAAGCCGAGTCCCTTTTAGAGCCCCACCCGCCTGGGTCTCCCCAGTACCCTGACGACTTTAAGCAGAGCTGATGACAGGGCTCACTCCCTTCATGGGTGGCAGATGCTCCCTCCGGGATAATCACTGCGATGAGGCGACTGGGAGCAGGAGAGTGCCGGTTGGAAATAATCATCACAACGCCCCAGGGATTTGCTAGGAAATTTGTGTTTTGACATTCTGGAAGGGTGAAGCCTCTCTAAACTGACAAAATGGCTCAGGCAACCAGGTACCAGGTAAAATTGGGCTTAGGTGGTTTCAGCTTCCTTTGTTGTGGCTTTCTGCGTCCTTCCCAGCCCAGATCCTACATCCTACAGCAGCAGGGAAGAATTGGATAGCAGTCATTCACACTTGGGTATAAATTTTCATTACTGTGGGACTTATCAAGAGGTTTCTGGTTTTTGCTTCGATTAGTGGTCTTATTAAAGTAATGTCCCAGGCATGTGGGGAGCAGAGCAGTCCAGACTGAACGGCTCACCTGCTCAACCCAGATTCGGGTCCAGCCTCATGTCTTAACAGATGTGGGCCAGGAAGCCAGACATGCCTTCTTGCACCATGTGTGACTGTGTTTAGCTTTGTTGAATGGTGAGTTAGAACAGCATCATTATCACTAGGCGGTATGACCTGTACTTTGTAATATGCCTGGCAGCATTAGATGTTTTAAAACGATATCTTTAGTCTGCCCAGCAATTCAGTGAAAGGGTGATAGTGTTTCTAGTCTGCAGCTGCAGAGGCAAGTTCAGAAAAACTAGGTGATTTGCCCAAGTTCAAGTAACCAGTGAGTGAAAACGTCGGGATTTGAACTCAAGTCAGCCCGGCCTGACACACACGGCCAGGTGGTAAAACTGCACTCCAGGACATATCGAGAATTTCCAGCCCCAGAACACACACCAGCTAATGTGGAAGGCGAACTCCAGGAACGGGCTGAGTGCCAAGGAAAGATGGCAGGAATCCAGGTCTTCCTTGAGAAGAATTGCAAGTGGACCAAGTAGAGAGAGAGCTGGAGAGGGCACCATCGAGAGGGAGACAGAGAGACTGTGCAAGGCTCCACACACCCCTCCCACCTGCCCCGGGCCCCGCCCTTCCCCTCTGCCCTGCCCCCACCCCAGACACCCCTGACCTGCGCACTAAGGACCAGGCCACAGTCCTCCCACTCAGTCCTCAGCTGCCAGCGCCCGAGTGGCCTCTCCTGCCCTGCCAGGTCTGCCCCTGCTGGTTCTGCCTCTGCTTGTTGCCGGTCCCATGGGCATCCCCTGAACTCTTGGACATTGGCTTCTTCCTAGCTCGTGCATCTCAAGGTCACCTTGGGTGCCTGTTTCCTCCCTGTCTCCTTCAATCACTCCTTTCCCTCCCCCACCCCCCACCCGCCCGTGAGATTGTGGGCACTCCCCAGAGTCTGAGGATCCTCATGGAACATTCTCCTACGAGACGCCGTGGGTGCTCAGAATTTCAGCTTCCACCCATGTGCAGCGACGCTCAGCCCCGACTCTCTCTGCAAGCCTCACGGACCCATGGCCTGTAGACAGCTCTTCCCAGACAGCGTGCAAGGCTCTATAAGGTCAAGTCGGGTCTTCTCGAGCGATGCAGTGCCAACCTGCCCAGGGGCCGCCAGCGGTCCTTCGGAGGGACCCTCGTGGTCTGCGTGCCCCAAGCTACACCCCCTCCCTGCCCGCTCCCCAGCGCACTCGTCCTGGTCTTCTTGACCGTCTTAATTTGAGGCAATAACACCGCCAGCAGCTCAACCACCGAGCGGGAAGACAGTGGTCATTTCTGACCCCTGCGAGGCTTGTTCCTGGGGGGCTCTTCCAAATCTCTCTCCTGGCTAAACTCTACTGAACATCAAACCCTGACCCCAGCTCCCACCTCCCCGAGGACGCCCTGCCCAAGCTTTGCTTTGCCGAGGCCCCTTCCCGCACGGTGCCCGCCACCTGATAGAAGGGTGCCCTGCAGCGGAGGGGTTCACGCAGCTGAGGTCCGTCTCAGGCTCCAGCTGTACTCCAGTCCTGGCACACAGTAGGACCTCAGAAATGAATGGCTGAGTGACTTAATGACTGGAACAGGCATGTGGGCAAAGCTCCTTTTGCCCCATTCCACATGTTCACCCCCAGAACCCCCACTCACCCCGGCCCTGATGGTGGGATGTCGGTGCCACCCGGAGCATGGAGGAGAGACCAGGGCTCCTCCGCCGGGTTGCCCCATGCCCTCCCAGCCCGGCCTGCCCTTGCCTCGGCAAAGCAGCTCCGTGGCTTCCCTCTGTGTCTGTGCCTCATGCCCAGAGGCCCCCGGGCGCCTTGAGCAGGGAACACTGGAGGGGGTGACTCACCCGGTGGGTCTCCTGCCTGGCCAAGAGGGGCAGTAACTCTTTGTGTATGTTTTCCTGGGTTCAATCAGCGCGTGTTTGTACGCATGTGTGTGTGCATCTGTGCGTACGTGTGAACCTGCTCTATGTGTATCTTCATGTATTTCTGTGTGTGCAGCGGTGGGTGTCTGTGCACATAGATGTTTGCTCTGTGTGTGTGTGCATGCATGTGTGTATGCATTCATGCCTGTACTCTGTGTGCATGCATGTCTGTGCATCTGTGCATGTGTGTCTGTGTGTGTGTGTCTGTGACTGTGCGTGCGTATCCCTGTGGCTGTGTGTGTGTGTGTCTCTGTATCTCTATGTCTGTGTGTGTCTCTGTGTCTGGGTGTGTGGAGTGTGTATGTGTCTCTGTGTCTGGGTGTGTGTGTGTCTCTGTATCTCTATGTCTGTGTGTGTCTCTGTGTCTGGGTGTGTGGAGTGTGTATGTGTCTCTGTGTCTGGGTGTGTGTGTGTCTCTGTATCTCTATGTCTGTGTGTGTCTCTGTGTCTGGGTGTGTGTATCCCTGTGGCTGTACGTGCGTGTCTGTGTGCGTCTATGCTCGTGTTCCCATATCTGTGTCCTTGTGGGTACATACACTTGCTTCTGTCGGCCGGCAGAGTGAAGCTGTGGGCTGACACCTTCGGCAGAGACCTGTATAACACCGTGACCAAATACTCAGGCTCCCTCCTGCTGCAGAAGGTCAGTAGCCCCCTTCCACGGAGCTCCCAGAGTGGACGGAGGACAGTCAGCCAGGGGCTCCTTCCCGGGAAAGCGACAGTTCCAGAAGCCCCACATGTCTGCAGACCTTTCAGCTCCATCCCCTCATAGTCCTCGGGAGAAACTGAGGCCCAGGGAGGGATTGTGGGACAGTCAGAGCACGTGTAAGCTCAGATGTCCGGGATGTTGATGCCAAGAGGAAACTTGCTGGGCATGAGACCCATTGGGGAGGGCCTGTGAAGAGTCGGGGTGAGAGGGGGCAGGAGCGAGCGGACTGGGGTGCGGGCCTGATGCCCGTGGGAGAGGAGGGGAGGGAGGAGCCGGCCCGAGGCCTGCCGCTTGCAGAGCCCAGCTGCGTGGGCAGTGGGGGGCATGCAGGCCCGCCTGCGCATGAAGAGCTCTGCACCCCAGCTCCGGGCCCCCGCCCCCACCTGCCCACCCAGCGCCTGAGCGGGGCCGCGTGCAGCCCCACACCCGCTTTGGCCCTTGCTTCATGTGCAGGTGGCCACCTGGCCTGTCCTTTTGCTAGATGAAAACAGCCGCACTTCCCTCTGGTATTTATAACTCCCAGGCCAGTTTTAATAATAGCTTGCCATTCTCAAATATTACCATTCGCTAAGAATTTCTTCTCCATTTGATTCTCATCCCAACTTCATGAGCAACCATCTTTGCCATTTTGCTGGTGCAAAGCCCTGGCTGTTGTGCTCACCTGTGACCACACCACAGCCCCATCCTCGCTGCTTGGCCCAAAGCCAGCCGGTCCTCTGGCTGGAGGAGGAAGCATCAGGGTGGCCAGCCTGAAGGCTGGGCCCCACAGGCCGCTGTGGCATCGAGAGCTAACATTCTCCTCCCCTCACACCACACCCCTGTACTGCAAGGTGCCATCCAGTGAGTTCTCACTGCCTCTCCATCTGCAGATGAAGACGACAGAGCGCCAGTTAGGCGGCCGGTGGGCCAGAGCATTCTCTATGTCTGTGCATGCCAGAACTTTCTTTAAAGATATGCCACAATCGCATCTTGCAAATGAGGAGCCGCCGGGCAGCTGGTCAGGAGGCAGTGTCCTCAATACTCTGGCCACTGAGGGTCACACAGCATGAGTGGGGCACAGCAGTGTCACAGGCTTCAGGGAAAAACAGTCTGATGTTTGCTGAGGTTTCTCCGTCAGAGTGAGCAGCCCCAAGAGGCGTTACATGAAGGTCTGGGGAGCCTGATCCTTGCCCAAGTCCCCTGTCACGTGTGTGTGACCTCGGGCAGGCTCATTGACACCTCCGAGGCTCCATCTGCTCCTTCACATTAGCAGCAATGAGCCCGTGGAAGAGAAGAGGCAGGTCGCACTGGGAGCAGGGATTTTGCTGTCCGTAAGCTAGTAAACAGGTTCCAGGGGTCAGTGTCCTAGCCGGGAGGCTGGCGGCCACATGCCACAGGCCACGCAGCCCACCGCTAGACCACCATACCCGACTGTCCCTCGTCCCCGGGCAGAAATACAAGGATGTGGAGCCCAGCCTGGGGATCAAGGAGGTGGACGGCTTGGAGCTGGTGAGGAAGTTCTCGGAGGACATGGAAACCATGCTGCGCAGGAAAATGGAGGCCGTTGAGGTAATGCGGGCCCCTCTGGGCGTCCCAGCCTGACTCTGAAATGACCCAGCCCTGCACCCGCCCACACACATTCTACCTGCACCTGGCCTGAGAGCCAGGAGCCTGAAGGTCCTTGGGAAGGCAGATGTGTTGGGCAGCAAGGGGTGGGAGGAGAGGCTGGGATCTGAGTGCACACTGGGGCTCAGCTTCATCGCAGTGGGCCGAGCCAGAGTGGCGCAGGACGCTGCCAGTGGCCTCCTATCCAGGGTGAGGCCCAGGCGTCACTCACTGGCTAGATAGGGGAGGGTGGATGAAAGGGTGGTGGTGCAGGGCAGTGGAGAACACAAAGCAAAGCTCCCCTCTCTCCCCCTTTCTCCCCTCCCCCGTTCCCCTTCCTGCCCTTCCTGACACCCTCTTGGCTCCGAGGGTTCAGAGGTTCTGTAACAACAGGCCTCAGCCTCGACTAACTCCACTACCACACCGCTACCAAGCCTGGCATGGTCTACAAGAGTGGGACGTGCCACTTCCTGCCACTTCCCGGCCTGTGGGGACCTGGCTGAGGCCACCCAGCACATACCGTGTGCCTGGACAGACACCGCTCTCTGCCCCCCAGCCAGGAGCGGGGCTCCCCAGCACCAGTGCCACCCCCAGGGCAACTCTCTTTGGGAGCCAGCGAACAAGGAGCAGATACACATTTTCATAGACTTTCTGGTTTTCAGAGAAGTTTTTGTTTTTTTTTTTTAAGATTTATTTATTTGTGCATACAGAACTGGAGTACAGGCCAGAGGCTCGGGGCGGTGAGAGGCTTCACCAGAGACAGAGTGGGGAGCAGAACAGGCAGATCGATGAAGTACACTGCTGAGGGGAGCAGCGGGCGGGTCAGGAGAGGTCTGCCACGCCATGTGGTCACCTCCGGGACAGGCGGGAATCGAACTCATGAGGAAGTGGCTTTAGATTCTCAGTGCTGTGCTTTAACCCGCTGCGCCACCAGGGAGAGCCTCAGAGAAGTTTTACAAAACGGCAGAGAATTCCTAAATAATCTCTGCCCCACAAACTCACAACCTCCCGACCACCAACTCTGACCACCTGAACAGCATATTTGTTAATACTGATGAGCCCAGATGGACACTTGAGAACCATACGGGGTGCACCTGTCGTCACCGGTGACTCTGTATCGACGCATCATGACCTCGCAGAGTGCACAGTTCCGGTCAGGGTTTATTCTGATGCACAGTCTGTGTTTGACATTGGGTTTGGACAATCAGAGATCACACATGTCATTTCACTGCCCTAAGAAACTCCTCTGTTCTCATCCTTGCCACATAAACCTCTGTAGTTCTGTCTTTTCTATAATGTCATGTAATTGGAACCACACCGAGTATAGCTGTCAGTGGGCTTCTTGCACGAAGTGACTTGCACTTACCTTTGGGCCGCTGTGAATCGCGCTGCTGGGAACATTCGAGCAGAAGCCTTGGTCTGAGCGCTTGTCTTCAGGCCCCCGGGGCAGAGACAGGAATGGCCTCCCTGCCCACTCAGTCTCCTCTTTCTTTTGCTGTCCCGCAGCGTCTGGTCGAGGCCGCCGAGGAGGCTGACCTAAACCACGAATTCAACCAATCTCTGGTGGTGAGTCCTGCTAGAGGGATCTGGGCTGGGAAAGGATCACTCCCAGCCCCACCCCCGGGTCATCTGAGCACAGGCGGTGGGAGAGCGCGGGGCCGGAGAGCTGGGCTAGCTTGTAATGTGCACAAGACCTGCATGGACCTGCAGTAGCTTGATCCTGAAATGTTCTTGAGTCTTCTGAGAAGGAATTTAGGTGTCATGTAGGGGAGACTATACAGGCCTGAGGGGTGGGGGCACTGGGTGGCATCTGAAAGGCACTTATAATTCCACCACAATGTGCCAGCATCCGCATAGATGAAAAGCTGAAGAAGTGAGACACAGCCTGACCTCAAGAAGTTCATAGAAATGGACAAAAGGGGCCCTCCCTGGTGGCGCAGTGGCTCAGGACACAGCACTGCAAGCTAGCTGCAGCTGCCTCAGTGCGAGTTCCATCCCCAGCCCCGGAGCTGACCCACATGGCGCAGCAGACCTCTCCTGACCCGCCCGCTGCTCCCCTCAGCAGTGTACTTTGTTGATCTGCCTGTTCTGCTGTCTCTGGTGAAGCCTCTTACCACCCCACACCTCTAGCCTGTACCCCAGTTCTGTATGCATGAATAAATAAATCTTTAGGGGGAAAAAAAGTGGACAAAAGGAGTTGGGAGGCCAAATAGCTCTAGGATAAGGCAGGAGACCAGCCCAGGGCTGAGTCCTCCCCGTGCTGAGAATCAGGAGGGAAGGGGAGCAGCTGACGGCGGGTCCAGGCTGGGTAGCTGAAAGCAGGACAAGGATTTCTAGGCTGAGGGAGAAAAAAACCTGAGATCAAAACTTCCAGATTAATGGTGGAGATCATGAGCAGTCAGCTGTGTCCCCCAGACTGGGCAAATCGGAGAGTGACCACGGCAGGTGGATGCCACCTATCAAAACACTTCGGTCGGGTGTGTCTTCAGCCAGCTAAGCTGCCCTGTAATGTGCAGCAGGACTGAGCAGCGAAGGGGTGGGGCTGACACAGGTCCGAAGCAGGCGCCTGGAGGCTGGGAAAGACGGTTCTCCGCTGGGGGTGCTGATCCAGCCGACCCCAGCCCTGCGCGGAAGCATTGGAGAGGCTCGGTCAGGCGGCGCAGTGAGCCCCGGGGGGGGGGGCACAGATGGGCCTCCTCAAGGAATGAAGCCTCCCCTGTAGGGCCCCACCATGCTCTGCGCCCCACCAATGTCTGCACCCCAACCCTTCCACTCTGGAGGGAGCGGGTGGTACTGAAGCGCTGCCTGTGTCTCTCTGTCCTTGAACCCATGCTCGCCTCCCGCTGTCTCCAGCGCTGGGGTGTACTCACACGAAGCTGAAACAGCAGCCTAACAGTTGCCACTGCTAGAAAGGCCGAGCCAGCCATCACCCCACTATCTGGCTGCGCGTGGCCCTCCATCTTCTGAGTCCGTCCCTGACTTCTCCATGGACGCTGCCCGAGTGGGCGCTCAGGCTGGCTGTCTCTCGAGGCCTCTGACCACTGTCATCTCTCCTCTCTCCCCCTCGGCGGCCGCGCCTGCCCCTAGTTTGACTATTACAACTCGGTCCTGGTCAACGAGAAGGACGAGAACGGCAACTGCGTGGAGCTGGGGGCCGAGCTGGTCCTGGAACCCAATGCGCACTTCAGCAACCTGAAGGTGAACACATCCGTCAGCAGCGTGCAGCTCCCCACCAACGTGTACAACAAAGGTACCTGGCAGCCTGCGCCCTGCGAGGGGTCGTCAGGGCGGTGCTGGACGGGCCTTCATTTTCCTGAGAAGCCAGGCGAGGTGCTAAAATGATTCTCCAACCTCCTCAGCAGAGGAGGGGAAGAGAAATTCTCCACGAGCTTGGGGAAACGCGGTGTCCACGGCAGGAGGGTGTGAGCGT